GAATCTGTGTCATTTCCAAGACCAGCCAATTCGCGACAGATTCGTTCCAAATTCAAATAAAATTTTCTAACATCTTCCAATGTATTGCAATTTGGGAGTGTCATCAACTGTTGCTGCAAATTTTTAATTCTTCTATCTTTATTTTCGAAATTTTGTTTAAGCAAATCGATTGCATGAACATATTCGCCCGGTTGGAACCCGTCGATCAAAAGACCGGCAGGACTATCCTTTGAAATGAATGACTGAAAGTATAGAATTTGGAATTTTTTTATAGAATTTGGAACCGTGGAATTTTTCTATAGTCAATGCCTCGTGCCTTACTTCGTGGTGAATTGGCGTGGCTCGAGCTACTTTTGGTTCTTCTCTGCTTCGGCCGCATATTTGCTTGGCCTATGCTTTAATTCGAATTTTTTAAAATAAGCGTCGAATTCTGGCCTTTCTGCTGCTGTAACCTTTTTGTTTAATTCAGTCCAATCTTCAAGGACCTAATTTATTTCATCTTTTGCCGCGAAGAGGCCTTTTATTAGATTGTCCAAATCTTCTATTGAACCTTCTAAATCAATTATTTTATCTTCTAAAGGCATTTCCAAGACCCGATGTGAATCAAATTCAGTTAGTTCTGCCTTCAATAATTCGACAATCTTAGAGATTGTGATTTGTAGCCTTTGTTCCAAAGGACTACTCATCATTGACTTGTCTTCTGTTGAGCTGCTGGATGTATTTTTACCTTTAAAAATTTTTACCCAATTCCCAGAGAACAAGTTACTGGCTGTTAACAAAAATTGCTAATAGTCAGCCTAGATAAAGAGAACGTCTGTATTTCTAAGCAATTAAGGGTTAATCAATAGGATTTCCCTAATACAAATTTATTTCTGAAATTTAAACTTGCCTTTTTTCTTTAAAAAACGCTGAGCCCCCACTAAAAGAAAAGATTTTCTTTTCAAGCTACGACAATAAAAGAAGATAAGTATTGTCGGAAATTTTTACCCCTAAATATTCCCTAAAATTTAAATAGAAGAATTCTTAAAATAAATTTAATATTTATTCAATAAAATATTATTTTAATAATAATAAAAGCTTAGGAGAAGAAAATCCTCGAAAAAATGACTGTTCAAAGAAGAGTGAATAATAATTGTTTTGGATTTTCTTTATATAAAAACCAAGCTGGAAAAAATAGAAAATAGAAAAAATAGAAAATAGTGAGCGGAAGCGATTGGAATGAGCGATAAAGTGTAAAGCTTGGGAAAATTAATTAATAAAAATATTTTAAAAAGATGGAATAAAAATAAAATAATTAATAAAATTAATAATTTTATATTTTATTTTCCTCATTTTCCCTTGTTTTCACATCACAGACAAAAGTGCGGCACCTCGAGGGTTTGAGTTTGGAACTTGGCTCTTCTGGTTTGCCTTATCCGAAGCCGTTTGATGGCAGTGATGATTTCTTGGCTTACTTGAAGTCTTTCATCAGATTGGCGACTGGCCATGGCTGGCAGCCTCCAAGATGTTGTCAGATATTGCCCTTATATTTATGGGAAGCAGCTTTGGCGGTCTATGAAGTGATGCCGGAAGATGTGAAGAATAATTGGAAAAACTTGGTGGAGGGCTTTTCAAACAGATTGAAAAGAATTTCAGCTAGAGAGGTGGCAAGATTGAAAATGATTTAGATACCTTTTCCCTAATTTTCTGTCCTGAAATGACGACAAATTGAGTAATAACCATTGAATTTGATCAACTGGGAGTTGAAAAACAATCTTTTATCACTTTGATATCAGTTTTAGATAAAATTCATTTTCTCGTTTGGTGACCAAAATTCTGGTGAAAAAAAAACTGGTGACCAAAATTTCAGTGCCCAATATTCCGTTTTTTGACTTGGTGACCAAAGTTTCGAAAAATCGTGGTGACCAAAATTCCAGTGACCAACATTCCGTACACCAGAAACGATACTAACCGAGACTAACAAAAATTTTTATTTTATGTCAAAAAATACGTGTAAAAATAATTTATTCATTATTTTATCATCCAAATCATCAGATAAATACTCTTTATCATCTGGATCCGATCCAATTCGATTGATTGATCCGATCCATTAACCTTTGTATTTGTGGAGAGAGTAGGTTTACTCCCCCAGTATCGTTTTATCCAACTCTAGTTTTTCCCAATTTTTGAAGAAATTAAAATTAATTTTAGAAATTATTTCTTTTATTTTTAATTAAATTGTTCATAGCCAATATTTGATGCTTTAAAGGGCAAGGGTAAATTAAAAGAAAAATAAGCAATTTGCTATTTTTTTTTCTTTTTATTTTTCCGAAAATCAAAACACAATTAAAAATTCTTATGTAATATATAAAGACGTCTTATGATTCTTTAAGATGAATGCCGAGTGCAAAATTATTTACACTTTGCTTAAAGGGCAAAAAATAAAATAAAACACAAACAAATAATTTGGTAAAAAATACCAAAACACAATTTTGCATTTATTTAAAAATTCCCTTTATACATATGCGCGAATTCCCGCCTTTCTGTAAATTTTTATTTATTTGGGCGGGATTTTTATTTAATGTATAAATGCCTATTTATTGAATGATAGGAAAGGCATTTCTATCCTCCATTTAAAATACACTCATAAGAATTGCTAGACTGGGCCTACAGAGAGAGTTTTTCTAAATTACGGTTTTTTACGATCTTTTGGAAAATTTTTTAAAAATTTGAATTTTGGCGACAAGAAAGAGGATTTCTGACTGTTTGGGCATCGGAAATTCTGAAAATTTTTGGATTGCGGCTCAAAAAAATAAGAAATCCTCCATTTAAAATACACTCGATTTTAAATACATTCTTTCAAAACAAGGATGTATTTAGCAGGGATTGCGCCAACCCGATTCACAATTCCAGAAAATCGGGCATTTGATTTTATGTCGGCGCGATCCCTGGTGTGTAGAATCGAGACTTTATCTTTTAGAAAAATGAGAGTTCACGTAACTCTTTTCCTTTTGACAATATTATTGGAATTTGTCTTTGGAATGAGAATAGAAGGTCCATCGGCATCTTATTCTCATGAAAATGTAACGGAACAAGGTGTGCAACGGGTAATGAATGCTCAAGGGAGAGGAGGCAGACCACCCATTGGTAGATTTTCACATATAAATGACTAGTAGAAGGAGCATATTTGCTTCGTTAATTTTAGAGTTGGAGCCGGAACCCGGCATTTTTGTCGATCCGAAATCAGAAACCCGATCCGAAGAAAATTTTTGAAACCCGATCCGAAATCCGACCCGACTTTTTTCTCAACCTGATCATTGCTCAAAATAAACTTTTTTTTTGTCAGAAAAACTTTTTGAACAAGACGCTAAAAGCCTGCAAATTGAGAAAGATGAGGTTGATAAAGGAAATGAATTATATATAAAAATAGTGGATGAAGAAGGGATTATTCAACATTTCTTAAATTTAAATAATGAATTGGAAAATAGTCACAGTGAAGAATTTGTCACTCTTTTGTTTAAGGAGCTTATTAAAGCAAGAAAAGTTTACAGAGAGGCTTTAATTAAACAAAAATTAGAAAAAGGCAAGAAGAAAAAGTTGTTTAAAAAAATAATTAATTCATTGACGAAAAATAAATCATTGGAAATAATAAGTAAATAATGTTTAAAATAATTAAATTTATAGTAAATACCGAAAGTGAACTATTTACTACGTAGTCCCTAATAGAATCAACAATAATGAGAGTCGATTAAGAAGCTTATTCAGGCTTCTATCTCTCAATGGTTCCGTGACGTTTGCACCGCATGCCTTAAAAATATAAATATGTTTAACGCAATGCTGGGGTACATCCCAAGGTACCGCAAGGCCAAGGTACCGCCAGCTATAACTTTGTTTAATATTGTCGAATTCAGGACGCCCTGGTATGGTTCGATTCAGTTCATCGAGATACATCGGAGCATACCAATGCTGAGTGCCACTATTTTCGTGTCTAATTTCATATTCTTCTGGTATTTTCATAAAAACGAGAATTTCTAATCCTTGGCCATAAAAAATAAATGAATTTTTGAATTAGAAATGATCACACTCTCAAATTTCTTACAGTACTTCGCCGCAGGCGGAAATTTTGAGAATTATTGAAGACCAAAACGCCAGAAATCTTTCGTTTTCTGAGTAAGCAAATACCGATAAACCTACTTCTTTTTACTAGAAAGGGGGAATTTAATTGCGTTTTCAATCCCTTTATTTAAATTATAAAATAAATTTAATAATAAAGAAATTTTACTTAAAGTTGAAGACATTGTAACATATCTTAATTCTGAATTATATGCAAATGAAAAGGAACTTTTTTATAATATACAAATTCTTGTATCTTATAAAAAAGGCGATTGCATTATAAGGGGCTATGAAAATAATGATAAGGAATTGGCCAAGTCAATTGCAATTGTTGAGAATGATTCAAAACTCGCATTTGAGGAATTATATAGAATGCATGCATTAACTATGGCAACTAATTCTTTATGCAAATATAAGGAATTAAATGTATGTTATTTTATCAAGATAATTGTGGTAAAAATTGTGTTTGAGAGCCCAGATTTCAATATATTGTCATTTGTAAGAGCTTGTAGGGCTAAGTCGATTGGTATCAAAATCAGCTTGATCCGACGATGAGTGGGATATTATATATGTACCCGTCCAGCTGAATAGTTTTGTGCTGCTATAGGTGATATGGCGGCATTTCAGACTGAAAATGGGAAAAGGATAGGCTTATGTTACGGCGTACAGACTCAGTAGAATAACTCTATGTTTAATCTTGTTAAAACTTTTTAATAACCATTCAACATTGAACGTCGAGTATTTAAATAAGCTATCATTTCATATATGAATTTTAGACTAAAATAAGTTTTTCTTCTCTATAGTTTTTCTAGCTTTTGGAGCTCTACCGCCGCGGGCTAATTTTTTAATTTTTTTATAAAGCATATATCGGTCATATATTGGCCATGATGGAGTCATGTTAATCAAATACAATTTTGCCAATTTTTAAAATAAAGCTTGCTTTTTATATGTTTTTAAATTTAAAATATCACCAGGCCGTTAAACACGCAGCCCTTCTAAAGAAATTTTTGGTTAGCATAGGAACTTGGGAGAATCCAGGAAACAGCAACGGAGCTTTTGAAAGTGCAGTATACACAAAAATCAGTTTACCCGTGGATGATGATTATTTTAAATTGGATTCTTCGATTAGCGTAGATATTGAGCATTTTTACGTTGAATACGATGACATTGGTGTTGAACACAAACATGTTAATAAAATTGATGAATTTCACGCTTTTAACAATGCAAGTTTTTTGTCTTATTAGTTTATGAGGTCGATGAAAGGCCATGAGTATAAGCAACAGCCAAATGATTAGTTCAAAAGGTTCATACATGTCAGCTTGCTCTTTTTTGAGTTAAGCACAGGACAGAATCCCACCGGGATACGCTGCAATTCTTGTTTTCCGTTATAAAATCAGGGGTTTTTAATTTTACGAAAATGACTGGACCCGGAGAATGAACCCGTGTTATACCGTTCGTTATAACTTAGCGACCTCCTCAACAAAACTTTAAAAATTTTTTATTTAGTTTAATGATGAGTATTTGAATTTGCATGGTGTGCTATTTGATAATATTACTCGTATGTGCAAGTTTACTATGCCTACACCTGTTCAAGTAATTTTATTAGTATTTGCCTAAATTACAATATTTATTTAGGCATATGCAATTCGAATATTGACATTTTCAGAAAAGATTGATTTAATTGCTGTAGCTGAGACTGGCTCTGGAAAGTCAGGAAATTTTTTAATTTAAGCAGTCCTAACTAAAAATGTTAGTTACTAAAAAATGTTTTTATAGAACGGCTGCATTTCTAATTCCTTTGATATACAGATTATTGGAAGCTAGGAAAAAAGGAGAAATCAAAAATAAAGTATGCTAAGCCTTCCTACCAAATTTAAAATTTAATAATTTTCAGAATCAAAAGGTGACTTATTTTCCAATAGCGTTGATACTCCTGCCAACACAAGAACTCGCACAACAAACATACTTGGAAGTTCTGAAATTAGCATACCGTACACCTCTTGTGCCAGCCCTTATCCATGGGGGACAGGATAATTATCCTCCACAAGTTGATACTTTTACGGTTAGCGTTCGTTTGCTTTGGGTCAGGGCAATTTCTGCGAATCCACTGTTTATCTATTTTTGTTAATTTTTTCTTTGGCGAATTTAATTTTATAAGCAAATTGAAAAATTTTTAACTCTAAAAATTGTCCATTGTTCCTTAACTGAATTTTCAACTAACCAACCTACTGAACTATGTTTGGGTTTAGTTCATAATAGATCCCAGTTCACTTTTCTGAGGATATTTATAATTACTAATTTTCCAAGTATAATATTTTATTCAATTAAAATAAGTGAGTTTATAAATTGTGGTTTTGGTAAAAGTATAAAATAAGGTATAAATTGGGGTGCATATGATTAACTAGGGTTCTTTATATAGTGCTATACATGTGAATAACAATATGGGGATAAAGTGCAATGGTCGGGATTTATTTAGTATGTCAAAGGAAGTTGGTAAACAAATATATGTATGAGTTGGGAAAACACTTAAAGATAAGAATGTTTTTGATGGGAGTGCCAATCGAGAATGCATATATTGGGAAAGTATTTAAATTATAGATAAGAGTGTTTTGTCGGGAATGCTTATAAAGCATGCTCCACCTACCTAATTTTAAATAGGTAATTATCTAAGTTTACAATTTAAGCTCGGATGTGATATTCTTGTTGCTACCCCTTTGCGACTTTTAGAAATGACGAAAAATTCTGATATCGACTTGAGTCAATGTAATTTTCTAGTAATGGATGAATCTGATAGATTACTTGGTTAGTGAAGAAATTCTCATGTTTTTAAATAAAATGAATTAAAGATAGTGACTTTGCCAAACAAACAGGCACAATAATTCAACAACTTCCGGCAAAAGAAGAAAGAACAACTGGTAGAGTATTTTTAAACTCTTGATGATATAAAATAAATTTTTAGTAATGTTTTCCGCGACATACAATAAAAAAGTTGATGGATTGGTCGAAAAATTCCTTAATAATAATCATGTATGTATTTAAATACCGTATTTAGTCGATTAATTCCCTTCCATTGAATAATTCCCCCTGCTACGGATGAGTTGAAACAATAATCCCCCTTCCCCAAATACCCTACTACACGTTCAATTTCAAAACTCGAATAATTCCCCTCCCTTGAATTCCCCATGCCATTGATGGGTTGAAAAAATAATTCCCCACGGTATTAAATATATTTTTTTATTTATAAAGTTTAAACTTACAATCACAAGAGCGTTACCAGCAAAGCTCTCGCAAGAGTTTTATTGGGTTGAAGAGAATGATAAATATGGAAAACTTTTAAAAGTTCTCGGTCAAATCAACTTAAAAAAGTCGAAAATTATTATTTTTGCAAACAATAAAAGCACTTGTAATAATGTAAATTGTTTAAATTTAATTAAAAAACTTTCCTATAATTACTAACAAACGAGGTAATCTGTCGAATTAACAACCTAAATTATTTGAACGAGTATGAGCGAGATTACTCGATCAAATAAATTATTCGATCAATCGTCCGATCTTTAATAAATAACTTTATTTCCTACCAGGATGGCCTTTTCCAAACCACTAAAATAGGGCGCAGGTACTCAAAAATAGGGAAAAAATAGGGCGAAATCGGTCAAAAGTAGGGCAAAAAATAGGGAATTATTTTAAAAATATAAAAATAATTAAAATTTTGAATAAAAATCTTTATTCCGCATGTTTTCGAATAGTTTTAACTAAATTGAGCAGATCAAGATGAAGCTGTATCGACCACGACCACGGTCGTCGACCACGACCACGTCAAGATGACTGTCGTTGACTACGACCACGTCAAGATGACCGTCGTCGACCACGACCACGGTCGTCGACCACGTCAAGATGTCTGTCGCCGACCACGACCACGTCAAGATGACCGTCGTTGACCACAACCACGGTCGACGACCATGTCAAGATGACTGTCGCCGACTACGACCTCGGTCGTCGACCACGAACACGTCAAGATGACCGTCGTCGACCACAACCACGTCAAGATGAATGTCGTCGACCACGACCACGGTCGTCGACCACGTCAAGATGACTGTCGTCATCTTGAAATTTTAAAAATTGATAAAAATAGGGCAAAATATGGCAAATGTACAAAATAGGGAAAAAATGGGGCGAAAAGATCAAAAATAGGGAAAATCCTCTATAAATAGGGTAAAAAGGCCACCCTGTTTCCTACAAATCTACCAGGTTTAAGGCGGGGGTTTAAGATATATTATAAGATAAAGTGAAAGCAGCGTCCCTGTAGCTCAGTGGTAGAGCACCTGTACTTGGTGAGCGAAAGCGCCTAGCAATAACTGCCAGGAGGTACCTGCCCTGGATTAAACTTTTACCTCGCTCTTACTTTGTGTAATTTGTCTACAAAAGTCTAAAAGTATCTCAGATTAATATAATTTTAGTTAAAAGCTCAATTAGAAAATGATAATTACAACTGTTTGTTATTCCATGCCGATGTTTCTGGTTCAAGAGATCATATTTTGGATGATTTTAAAAGTGGAAAAATTCGAATTTTAATTGCCTCAGATGCTCTTGCGAGGGGGATTGATGTTGAAAATGTTACACATGTTATTAACTATGATACTCCGGAAGGTCTTATATTTTTATTAAAATTTGCCTCGGCTTTTAAAACTCATTCGGCTCATCTTTGGGGTTTATATAAGCTGCCATCAAACAATACATTTCAACTAGTGTAGCAGATCCTGGGCTTCGGAAATCTGCATTCGATATGCGAAATTAAAGTTTCGGATACCCGGACAGACCCGGCATTTTGATTAAAATACTGATGATTATGGTGTAAAGATAGGGTCGTAGTATAATCGAGAATACTAAGCCGAAAACATTATTGCGCAGCAGGCGCAAATTTTGTGAATTTTGGGAGTCAATATTTCAGACGTGGATCTGCCAACCTTATTTTTAAACCCATCGTTAATGGGGAATTTTAGAGACCATTCAAGGAAATTACCTATTTTTGTTTAAATATTCATTTTAGCCCAACAAAATTATCGTCACCGTGTTGGACGTACCGCCAGAATGGGTCGAAAAGGTTATTTAATATTAGCTAGAGATCATCAGGTAGAAGCCTTTTTCTGGCACATGATCCTATTTCTAGAGGTTATGTTAATATAAAAAAGTTAGGTGTGTATTTTAGTAGTGCATTGGGATGTAAAAGTTTAGGGAGGGCAAAGGATATATCAAACATACTTTAATCCGCTCATATTCACCGTTATCTCACCATATCCCCATAATTCAATCCACAAAATCCCCTTAATCCTTCAATATTGCTTCTGAGTACCTCACTCTACATCCTTTTTATCTCGCAAATTTCTCTACAAAAACAGCTTTACTTTACTAAATACACTTTGCCAAATACAATTTAAAGAATTTAAGTAAATAATATTTTGAAAAAAATACGTAGAAGCGTTAGTAGTTGAATCAAATAAATCAAGGCTAAGAATAGGAGTTGGTTTTTCAAAAGAGGACTTTGACTAGTTCTTAACATTGAGTCAAGAAAACGTCGAGGCCAAAAATCAAAAAAAATAGTATGAAATAGCCTTGATTTAAACTCTTAATAAATGTAAGGGGTAGTGCCCAAATCCATCCTAATTTCCAATATTATATTTATTAAATTTACATGAAAATTATAGGATCATCTATAACTTTTGTTAATGAACTAACTAAATGTATTGTGGATTTGTATGACTTAGTTAATGGTCAAGGTGATCTGCCACAAGAGATGATTGCCCTTGTAGAAGATAAGAAGAAAAAAGAGAGAATGCCGCGTCCACATAAGGGTAGAAGTCAACTGAGTGCATTCACAGGTGGCTATTATGGTGAAGGATCGTCGCAATATTTTATTGACAATCCAGATATGTATACTCAAGAAGTCGAAAAATATAATGAAATTGAGGTCAGAACCCATGACCCAGAATATTATGAAGAATGATTTTCTTTTCTAAGGGGTAGAATTTTTATAGGAAATCCAAATGCTTTTCTACTAGAATGAAGGGGAAGTAATTTTTTAAAATTAAACCCCAATTTATAACCACGTTCCCGATCCGAAAATGATTAAAAATAAAATGCTCGGATTAAAAGCTTCGAGTTTTTTCGGATTTTTTATCCAATAATTTTATCCAACAATAGAAAATTTTTCACTCAATCATGCGCTCCGACCCAACCCCCGAACATA